CACGGCCTGAAGAAGCGGAGAAATTTTGCGGTAACCACTGTACGTGAGCAGCACAATGAATATTTGGATGAGTAAAAGGAGTGTTGAGTTGTAGGCAACCCGGTGTGAATAGAAAAGTGTAAAGAGCCGAAAAAAGACAAAAGAATGTAGGGTGTCGTGTGTCACTCAAGAGATAGTGAAGGTAAATCTGAATAACTTCTCACAAAAGAAAAGCGAAAGAAGTTTCATGGGCACTATGTATATCAGCAGATAATTTTAAAAGAATTTAAGGACTAATGGGAGAGAGAAAGTTGAGATGAAAACTCATTCTTGACATTAGTAAGCATATAATGTTGGAAATGAACTGTTTGACGAAGAGAAATAAAGCTGAAAAGAAGCACAATACTCACCATATCGTTGAATGCTTCGTGACACTGAATATCAATAATGAATAACAAGATGAAACAACTCACAACGAAACGAATCTCACAAAGTACACTTGATTTGATAATATTGTTAATGTTTAATAACTAATTCTAAAAGAAAATGGAAGTATACGATATAGAGTAGCATACAACTCACTGCGCTCATCAGTGCGTGACTTTGTGAGAATGGCGAACGAGACATCCAAATAAATTGACCAGCTGTAAATTGTATGATAAATAATTCGATGCACGATATTGTTTATTTTCAATAATCGATTCTAAGGTGAAAGAAAGAAAGCAGACAAAAAGAAACAAAAAGTGAAAAAAACCTCACCGTTCCATTCAGTATCTGGTGGTATTCAACCTGGGTGACAACTTTGAAAATAAAAAACGCGAAAACAAGCGAGTCACACATCATGTAAAGCGATCAATGACATACTTTGAAACGACTATTGTAGTTTTAGAAGGAAAACACAAGCAGCAAGTCACTTGCCATGTTTCTTGGCGATTGGTGTTGTTGGATTTGGATTGCTGATGATTAAAGCAATTGTATCAAATAGATATAAATCACAAAGGAAGCGACTCGATAGATGGTTTCATCTGAAATGAGCAAGTAGCTAAAGAGAAAAAACAAAGAACAAAAGAAATAGGAAAGCGTAACATCTTACTTGACATTTATTTGATCCGTGAGAATATTGTTATCGGATGCTTGCCCAAAAGAAAGAAGAAAGAAAAATGGCCATATGAGCATATTGCAGGAGTGATTCAGATTGAATCATTTAAGTTGTGAGAGTGCTCAAAAGAAAAGGATGAATTTATAGTTTGCTAGCCGTTTGTGTTTGAATTGCAAGATGGTCATTTTATCCTTAGAAGATGATCAATATACGATATTATGTTATGTTGAATCGAATATGGGCATGTTTCATGTTGTTTTAAATTAAAATGACAATGTATAAAAAAATAAAAAAGAAATAGAAGTGGGTGATTGGATGAGAACAAGATCAAATCTTACAACTTGTGCTCGCAAAAATAAATAAAAAATAAATGAAACGAAGAAATCACTAGTTCTTGATTCTTTACTGAGAATATTTCAATTAATTTCGCCGTTTCCGTTTGCTCTGACGTAAAGTGACAGTCGAATTGGTAATATCTTTGAGTGGAAGAGAATTCGAGTTTGAACATTGATCATCTTGTTTTCGACTATTGTTCATCACGTTTTCATTCTGCTCGTTCACATTCGAATTCTTCCTTTTTCTACCCCGGAGTTTTTTCGATTGAGGAATGCAGATCGATGACGCTAATATGTTTTCCATGTTCTCACAATATCTATACAGAAGAAATTCTCATTTACATGAGATCAACAAATCAGAAAAATGTGACTCACTCATTGACATTGCCGGGCATATCCAAATTGAAATCAGGAACATCATTTGAAGATTTTGTTTGTGACGTTTGACTAGCAACAGGAGAATTCTGTTCGACTTTTGATTCATTTAGTAGATCTGAACTCGGTTGTGTTTGTGTTTGTGTTTGCGGTTCAATAACAAGTGTTGTCGAATCAGCGGATTGGTTATTCGAAGAGAACAATGGAGACTTTTTATTTTCATTCCAATAAATGTCGATTTCCTTTTCTCTTATCAAATTTCGAATCGAATTGGATAGGAAACGTTTGTCGCCATGTAGCACAGAATAGAGCAATCGAATCGCTCGACTTTTTTTATCGAACGACAGTTCGAAGATTGTGTACATTGAGATCAGAAGTGCCAGAGCGTCGTCGGGAGAATTGGTAGAGAGAATTGGAACAAAGTCAACGAATATGGTAATGCGATCATTGATGCAAACTAACGTTGGATATGGCGTCGGCGGTTCCTATGAAAATTTACGTTTAGTGAATTTTTATAATGAATGAAAATACAAAAAAAAACTTCAAAACGTGTCAACTCCAAATGTAAATGTTATTGGATTCTTTTATATCTCAACATGACAGGGAATTCGATAAGATTAGACATTGATCATCATTATCTTGAATACATATTCTACTGACGTATGTTTTACATGAATTAGTCATGGTTTGATTTTCCTTGATTGAAATTATTCAGCAATCTCGTTAAAGAATGCAGAATTTTCGTCAATACAATCGATCACTCTGTCACTTCTTGGTACGATGGAAAAACTAACTCACCGTGTCACAAAATACGTGTTGAAGTGTTTCGTCAAAACGTTGACACAGAACTTTCATGAGTCGAACTGCGGATGAATCTAAAATGAAATGTTGTTCAGCGATGGACATACTAAGTTGCTTATCTACCTGTGATAAAGACGGGAGCTTCAACCAGTTTCTCAAGCAAGATCGGTATTTGTATACGTACAGCATCGGCTAGACTAATCTTCATCAGCATTTGTACCTCTTCGAATACCTATCATCATAATAGATTTATTCTCTATGAAAGAAAGAATACATGACCGAAGATTTACCAACAACGGATTTCCATAACCAGGAAAATCTTTGAGAATATCAGCTGTGGAACGATCCCGAATTGATTGTCGTCGTAAATGTAATGTTTCTTTCCACAGACTCAATTGAACGTGTATATCTACTGGAGGATTTTTGCGCAATTGATCTGCTTTCGACCAAATCTCATCTGACGAAGGATCATCCGGTGACATTACCATCATCATCATCTAGACGAAGATAAAGTGATGACGAATATATAGTCGTGATTTACCTGTTTATATCGATCCCGTTGTGCCGTTGTTCCTACTTGCCGTTTCACCGGCCTTCCTGAACCAGATTTCGAATATCTCATCCGATATTCTTGAACAGAAACATTATCTGGGTGTTCGGAACGTTGTCGTTTCAATTTCGTTTGAAGAGCATCTTTCCAGACAGCCTATTCAAATGGAATGCTTTTAGTCGAAAATGATGAGTGAACTTACTATATTTTCGACAGTCAAAGGTAGCTTGAGAAATTTCACAATTCCATTGCCGATGCTGCCGAATTGCTTATGCGTTGGATAACTAATTTGAAAGGATATTTAATATTTAAGTTGACGATAGGATTTCGTTCTGATTGGGAACAATATTTAAAAGGAGCTCATATTCTGTTATCGAGCAATACTGATCTGATGAGTTAGTAAAAATCAAAGAGAAAATCTTCATTTCAAATCAGAACATCATCATTCGAATAGCGAGTCGCTTTGTGAGAGCCCAACGATCAAGATGAAAAATACTTGATGGATAACGAAATGAGAGAATATAAGAGAAAACATAGAGTATGAAAGGAGAAAAGAAAATAGGAAAGAAACGATGAACATACATAATACTTCTCATGTGACAGACAGAGAGAGAGAAAGAAAAACAAGTGGATGGCATACTAAGAGTCGTGCATCGACTGGTCTAATCATCACTAAAATACGAAATTCCAACAAATGTAGAAACTTCCATTGAATCTGAAGATTGTCAAAAATTAAAATTCTCCGATATCTAAGCATATTCTCTACTCCATTTGCTTTATGTCTCTCATATTCGATGTAGATGAGAATGCAGTTTTCGCTCGAGCAAGTGTGACAGAAAAACAATGTTTTCGGAAAAAAACGTTTGCTTTACTCATTAAAATAGATTTGGTTAATAATATAATAATATGGAATGTGCTTTTCGGCTTACATGGCGAGAACATCGTTATTATTAAAAGAGACAATTTTTGAGCATTTCTAAATGGAACCTGTTCAAAGGCAACACACGTGATCGATTGTGACCCAAATACAGAAGTAAAACGTTATGAGTCTTACTTCTCTCAATAAGGTCCTATGCAAATGACACAACTTACAAGAGATTGTATTTGTTTATGAGATCATAGACAACAGCATCGATGAGTATCCGTCGATTTGAACAGTGAGGACCGAATTTCACAATATTACCATCATTGACATCTTTGATCAATGCGTCAGGTAATACTGGCATCTTGTAGTCTTCTGGGAAAGAAGTATTACCAGCTGGATCAGAATTTGATCGATCGGCTGCTGAATCACCGATAGACTTATCAGATGAATGTTCGGACCGTGCTGTGTTTGCGTGCATGAAAGATGATGAGTGAGAATGACGATCGGCCGAAACTGTTGGTAATGTATGATAATTGGTGGATGTTGTAATGCCCAATAACTGTCCATTTGTGGATGCATCAGATGATTCACTATCATGTGAATTTGTACGATCGTTAATTTTCCGAAGTAGTTTTTCGCGTTCCTCGAGAAAGATTAACTGTTGCTTAAATTTCGGTATCAATGTTGAAATCCGTTCCATAGTATTCATTATGTTCAACGTTGGGCCATCAATATCATATTCTAAAACGAGAAAAAAACGGTTCGGAGCAGGTGAAGATGGCCAAATATATCTTTATGCATGCGGAAACACTAACTCCATTACTTCTAGAAAATGATGTGCGCGTGTTGTTCTATCGAACAAGGAATAAACAAAAAATATTGAATCGAAATGCAAATTGATACTGAGAGAATAGCGTGGAGAGTGTCAATATAATTTTAAAAATTACATATTCAAAAGAAAACGCTCTAAACTCGCTGGCAATGTTTATCGAAAAGCTTTTCTATATCATAACATAGAAATAATATCTCATGTGTTCCTTTATGTTACTCGTGTACAGATGAATATGCGATGTGCGATCGAATCATGTAAACTGACCACGCCGGCAATTTTGGTAAGATTCTATTCATTATCGAAACCACTGTTATTGGCGATTATTTCATCGTCATATCTACATTGGTCATATGGATAACGGAAAATTGGTCGGCTTTAGTCAATCAAATTATGGATTTATATGTGGCAGGCTGTAACTAGGCTGGACAATATTGATCCGATGAATTAGTAAAAATCAAAGAGAAAATCTTCATTTCAAATCAGAACATCATCATTCGAATAGCGAGTCGCTTTGTGAGAGCCCAACGATCAAGACGAAAAATACTTGATTGATAACGAAATGAGAGAACATAAGAGAAAACATAAAGTATGAAAGGAGAAAAGAAAATAGGAAAGAAACGATGAACATACATAATACTTCTCATGTGACAGACAGAGACAGAAGAAGAAACTAAATGACCTAAAAAGCACATGATTTGTCCAAATATACTTTCGCCATATTTTGGTTAATATAACGTGAGACGATTGGTAAACGAAACAAAGCTTGAGTTATTCACTTGGTAGACGTCCAAGCCTTTGTAATAATATCTCAATTGACACGGGTCAAGCATCGAATAATGATCGATTGATTTCACTTCCCATGCGAATAAGTCTTCATCGTACGATATAGTATTGAGTATGTCCGCCAACAACCACCACTTTTCTTTCATCTTCATAATGAACAAAATTTGAGCAAATATTGGTTGTTCTTTCAGTGGGATTAAGTCAACAATATACACGGCTGATCGAGAATACTCGACATTTTCATGAATTAACCTTTGGCATTGCTTAAGGTTTGCTGCAATATCAACATGACCAAAATGATCGAATAAAAGTTTTTTCATGTATGAATTGAGACTAGTGGTTTGAATTTGTTTCACTCCCACTGGATAAGACAAAGTATTCAATCGAGACAGATGAGCAACCTTGAAACACTGTTTGAGACGATATCGAGTAATAAGCATCTTCGGCACGTTTTTGAAATTATTCGTCCTCAAAGCGATCTTCTTAAAGTAAGCGTGGTTTGCTTCATATCGAAAACACCATTGCTTGATTGCGGGGCCGTAATCATGTACTATCTGCTCATACTCACGAATAAAATGAACCTTAGGTGTAATTCTATCGGGAAAATGTTCCAGCATTGTTCGATAAAACGTAGCACATAAGTCGTCAAGCACGAAAAGCCACTTTTTTCTGAATGGGTTAGATAAAACAAGATCCAGAATCTCACGTAGAACTTTGTAAACGATATACGATGGCAACTGACAGATAACATCATGAAAAATGAATGGAAATATTTTAAACAAACAAAGCTTTTGCGAAGCTGTAGCAACAATTCGATTACTCTGGAGATGCTTTACTTGAATAGGTGGTGGACGATTACTCCTATCGAAATAGCCGTATTCGAAATTTTCCATGCGCTGTTGAATACGAGCTTGACAGTATAGAAAAAAAAGCACTTTCAATGCATTCAAGTATTCGAAAATTATTACAAGAAGAATATCAAATGATATTTTACTTCAGGTGTCATAGAAAATCTCTTATAGCCAAGAAAAGTAAACCAATTTTAATAGTAAACTACAATTATCCATGCTTTTTTTACATATTCTAAAGCTTTATTCGTATAAAATAGACTCTTGATTACTCGGCGAGGGTGTCGTTGTTCTATGGAGATCGCGTCATTTCAAGTACAAAAGAAGATGAAAATCTCTCGATAAGACGATAAAAAACTAGATGATCTCTCTAGACCGCGCTGCACAACCGCACATATCTTGAAATACTTCTCATTCTTACTTGGCAATTCATTAGAATTTAAAAGTGCATGATGAAGTCTACGAAAAATGTTCAACCGTAGCTAATCTCATATGTATATAATCAAACTTCATAAGAATACGATCAGTCCTCATTAAAAAAACAGTAGAATACAAGTCAATATTCAACAAACACTAATTTAGTTCTTTGTAATAATTTTTCTCGACTAGTAAATTTCAGAAATGAGTAGAGCTATGAAATATAAAGATCAAGCGTATTAATTACAATACATTGAAAGAACTCAACGTTGTTTTGATATGATAAAAATTCATTCAATAGCCCCAAATGAAGAATTACGAGCTCTCACCGTATGTTATCAGACGCATTGATGATGCTTGTTTCAAAAGACACATGATAACCATCGGGCATACTCCTTCCAAAAAGTCATGCATGATATCACCAGGCAAGGAGTGTGTTGGATGAAAACCAATGAGTTCACATAGTGGGCTTGACCCAATAACACCCATCAAAGGAGATTTGTTGGGGTTCACAAGTAGCTCTTGAACTAACTCATCATGATCGATTGTCGTTCGACGCTTGGTTGTTGACATTGCGGTTAGCGAGTTCTTTTCGGTATACGGAATGTAACATCGGCGACAAAAATATCCAGCACTGAAGCATGATTGAAATCCCCCGATCATATGAGCAGCAAGATTGTCGGACACGACTGTTGAGAATGAAAATTTGAGATGAACACCATTGATCGAAAGCCCGTGAAATTGAATCCAATTCAAATTATCAACAATTGGTTGAAAAAAGCGTTTTGCTTTATCGCAATCCTCAAAAAAAAACAAAAAAGATGCGTATACTAACGATTTTCAGCGACTCTCTGTTGATTGATCCAATTAGTTGTAACATGTCAGAATTTTATCGAACATGTGATATACGAATGATAGCAAAACAGATTCTTTGATTTAATAAAAACAGAAGAATAGAAATTATTTACAAAAAAAACCATATTCTATTATTTTAGAAGTATGGAAAAGATCTTTCAGAATACAAGGTATGGCTAGTTAGTCGAGTTAAATATTCAAATATGTGGCAAATGTATTTACCTTCAGAATTTTGCTATCACAAATGGCGAGTAGTTGAATGTTATCGATCTTTGATCGATATTGATCCGGTACGTCTTCAATCGAAAAGTAAACCATAGACAACTTATGGTGGTCACGTTTGGATCCGATTGGATTAGTCAGTCCTATATCATCCATGTAAACCTGTAGTAATATACTGTCATGATCGATTCTGCCACCGTTGTATGCATCTCGAATGGAAAACATTAAATCTGGATCATTTTCTGCTAGTGTTTGTTGTCTTTGAATGTTTTCGAGAATTTGAGCAACGAACGAATGAGAACTGAACATTGAAGTTAAAGTTTTGTCGACCGGAATAAAATAACCTCGATCCAAATTTTCACCAGGCAATGAAACAACAATTTCTTCAGGTACACTATATCCAAAATACTCTTCACAATATTTGATCAGTTGATATTCATTCTTATTGATTGACTCAATCGCAATACAAACATCATTTAATGTATGTTTTACTTCATCAAATTCAATGATTTCCTTATCTTTCACTTTGCAAGACGTTGATGACAAACAGGAGCAAATATGTGCAGAACAACTAATCGTCTTATTCCCCAATAAACTCTGCGTATGGTTTAACAGCGTCACAATATAACTAGAAATAGTGTGCATGACATTTTTAGGAAGCAAGAATTCTTCGCGCAGTTGTAAAAGAAACGATAGATATGTTTTTCTAATATCGACAATTGAATCGAAACTTTCCATACCACTAGTAGGTGATGATAATGCTTCTTCAAGAAACGTTTCTTCATAGTCAACGTTCAATAGTATTGATTCATGATCGTTGTCATTTATCCCAGCATGTCCAACATCAAAATCCGTGTCATGTTGTTGTCGATTATCAACAGGAATCGCATTTATTCTGCTGTCAGACATTTCCACCGATTGAAGCTCATCCAAGTGTTGCCGGTAAATGTGAGACTTGTATGCTGAGTAGCTCCGATATAAGACACCGCATGTATTACGTAAATCACAAACGATACCGAAGTTTGGATCGTTCTGATGGTAGAGTGTGATATGTTTGAAGATTTTCGTAAGAGTGTTGAAATCCCGATACGGCGAACATAGCGGGCAAGTAAAAGATGCCATGATATTTTTATGTGATGTAAAAGATTGAGAAGAATGAAATGAATTAGACTTTATGTGTCGACCAAATAGAACGAGCGGATGACTTAAAAGCTTCCTTGCGAGCGTTTTTGAAGAGATAAAGAAACAAATAAAAATGACGATTACAAGCGAATATACTATAGATCGCGCAAACTATCCAACTGTGTTTTTTTCATACGACATGCGCTCGTCCATCTATTGGAGAAACAACAACAAGAAAATACCAATCTAGGAGAATCTAAACAAACCATCGTAATTCTATTTCGACCCAAGCGAATTTCTATACAAATGACAAAGAGTCCTATAAGCGTAAACGTCAAGAATAAGCTTCAATTTGTCACAAAAAAGCGCATTTCTAATAATCAGTAAACCGACTTACCTTCGAATCGTGATAAGATTGACTCGTCGTCGATAAATGACTTACACCATTCAACAACTTGCTCACACGACCAATTCATATTTTCACAATTAGATTATCTAGAAACTCTACAAAACACTTTTGCAGGAGCGGTCACTGAAAACATATACGGTCAGCTATCAAATATCATGCAACTTCAGATCACCTTATCATATGATGTCACTCAAGTTCCTTTCTTCGAATCACTGATCTATCTGCACAGCCTATTTACACTGACGACTTCATCTAACTATAAACAAATTCGATAGATGGTGACGATAACACATATCAAATCATTGTAACGAGTTGTTGAAAAGAAACGAACATTTCATGTCGTTCATATATATTATACTTTTCTTCAGCAAAATTTCGAGAAATTCTAACAGACTGTTTTTCACTCACTGTTCCTCAGTATACTGACCATTTTAACTGATTATACGTCCGATTGAACCCAACGGTCTATTCATCAGATGAAACTAGCATGAAAGAAACACTACTATAAATGACCCAATTAAAGAGTTCAGTTTCTGCCCCTAGAATAGTAAACCATTTTGATAAAAGAAACAAAATCATCAAGCCATTGTGTAGATTAATGCACTCTTTCCGATAAAATCATTTAGATTCCATTCTTGCACGTGTAGTGACAAATTGCTAACTCGCAGACGTTAAGGGATAAACGCATTCGACGGATCGGTATCAGGATGAACCTGTTCACGAGAAAAGATGAACGCATTCGACGGATCGGTATCAGGATGAACCTGTTCGCGAGAAAAGACGAACGCATTCGACGGAACAGTATAAGGCTCGACTCTTGAATGCTAAACTTTCCCAGCAGAAAAGTAGAAGAATCAACCCTTATGAACACAAGGATAGATCTTTACAATAAGGGAGCAAAATAATAAACCCTTTTTTTTGAAAGAAGTCAACATTTTCCAGCAGAAAATGGAGATATACTCTTTTTACGGGAAAGTCGAAGGATAAATCTAAAAGCGATTAATACAATATTCTCATTTGAAAACCATATCATACTCTACTGTCATCCGTTAAAGAACATGCCTCTATTTTGAAAGTAATATATGAGATACCTTTTTGTAGGAATTATGAACCCTTTGAGATTCAATAAACCTACAAGCCTATAAACTATTTCGCTGATAAACATTTGAATGGTTGATCACTTCTAGATAAACCCTTGAAGGGTTTATTGGAAACTTTCGAAAGGACAAAGATAGATCATGATCCGGGTCTTTTTTTCTGTGTAGGCGGGTCAGTGGAGCAGAGGCAGATAAACAAGGTGGTACACATCAAAAAACAAACTTTCCAGTTAAGGTGATGATGTGGTTGGGTGCATGTGCTGAAGGTCTGACGGTTCCAGTGATTATGAAGGATGGGACGATGGATGCAGAAAGATATATCAGCGACGTTCTTCCCATTGCTTTAAAATCCAGTAATAAAATGTTAGAAAACAGCTGGACTTATCAGCAAGATGGTGCTACACCTCATACACATTATTCAAGTCAAAAATGGTGTGCTGATCATTTTCCACATTTTATTTCGAAGGAACGTTCGCCTCCAAATTCACCTGATTTATGTCCACTGGATTACAGCTTATGGAAAGAATTAGCTGAATCAATAGACTGGGAGCACGCAACGACAAAGGAAACATTGATAGGCGAAATCAAACGTGCTGTGAAAAAAGTTGAAAAAGAAAAAAATTTACATTCTGTACTTGATTTTACCGTACGATTACGTTTAATCCAAAAGAATGGAGGAAACTATGTTCGTTAAAAATAAATATACCATCTTGTGCAGAATCTCAAACACTATCTTTTGATAAAAAAATATTTTTAACCACAGTGTTAATAGAACAGAAATATTAAAATACTGAGAGGGTAGTTATTTATGGCGCACCCGTTAGAAATTTGAATACGCTGATGGGTGTTTCCATGGGGTTTCTCCCACTTTATACAGAAGGGTTTCCTTTCAACGCGAAAATGTCAGGGTTTGTAGAGCTCGACAAGACGATCATTTTGATCTATTTGGATTTCACCAAATGTCGCGGCATCGCCGACCATCAGAACTCAACTTTTCAAGCTTTTTTCATACNCAACTCGCAGACGTTAAGAGATAAACGCATTCGACGGAACAGCATAAGGATCGACTCTTAAATCTTGAATGCTAAACCTTCCCAGCAGAAAAGTAGAAGAATCAACCCTTATGAAGACAAGGATAGATCTTTACAATAAGGGAGCAAAATAATAAACTCTTTTTTTGAAAGAAGTTAACATTTTTCCAACAGAAAATGAAGATATACCATTTTTACGGAAAAGTCGAAGAATAAATCTAAAAGCGATTAATGCAATATCCTCATTTGAAAAGCGTATCATACTCTACTGCCATTCGTTAAAGAACATGCCTCTATTTTGAAAGTAATATATGAGATACCTTTTTGAAGAAATTATGAACCCTTTCAGATTCAATAAACCTACAAGTCTATAAACTCTGTCGCTGATAAACATTTGAATGGTTGATCACTTCTAGATAAACCCTTGAAGGGCTTATTGGGAACTTTCGAAAGGACAAAGATAGATCATTATCCGGATCTTTTTTTCCGTGTATATATGTGTAGGCAAATATAAAACAGAGAAAAAATAGGAGCAGATTCGACCAGGCAAGTATCATTAATATAAGCATCGACAATCGATGTGCAACAATTCATATTTTATTATAGTTGACAGCTGAAAGAAGCAGACATTTATTGCTTGGTTACTTGAAAGCTACTGACAAAAGCCATTTGTATGTAGAATGCAAAATGAGTTTATGTTGATTGTGATTGATAAAATCGAGTGGATTAATAGATAACTAAAAGGATTATAAGTACAGCCAAACTCACTATAATATTTTTTTCCCAAAACTGCCATATGGTACAACTGTTCACTTTTGCTGTAACAAGGGTAGAAGCTGACGTATGCATTGCGGACGCATTATTTATCATAGATGAATGTATTGCGATTGTATCTGTTGAAGAAGGTGAGGACACGTTTGGCATAGTTTCAATCAAATATTGAGAAAATGTGATATTGAGTGCCGAGCTTGCAGTTGTCATAGATTCATCAGATTCGTTGCGAAAACCGAGTGCATTGCGTAGTGGTAAAATATTGTAGTTTTCTTTAACATTGACCTGAAACTTTGTTACAATATCTAAGCTGTTGCACTCTGGATAGCCACAAAACAGACCATATAATGCAGTTTCCTCGCGAGTTTTGAAATTGAAATCATTTCTAGCCTGAAACTGAGCTCGTGGCATATTACTACAGCTTTGTTTAATATCGGTTTCAAGGTGTGTCCACTGAGCACTGCAAAAGCCATTACCACACTGGACAAGATGACATTCGTCTGAAAAATACTATAAATGAGTTTGAATAAAACAATTCATCATGTGATCTGAAAATTCGTTGGACTAGGATAGATACATGCGAGATCGTATTCCGGAGGATTAGCATTCGGCATCGAAATCGAAGATGCGCGGGACAATGGTTTTCGATACGTTATCCGTCCAATCAGTTTTTCGAAGAGATTTTAGTCTATATATGTTGTTCAAAAATTATTTCATGTTCAAGTGTGCGCGACAATGGAGAGGTATTTGGAAAAGCAGAAATATCAAATTTACACTCACAGCCACCCTGGATACTTACGTAGTTCATCATCGTCAGGTATAAGTAGCTGAAAACTAATGCTGAAGAACTTATCAAACTTTATTTGAACGAGCCAATCAACATGATCTAGTATAAATTGTTTATCACAACTGTCAGAATTTGAACATGCAGATGTTAAAACATGTCCAGTCATTGTGTCATCTTTATCGATATACCTTGTTATTGTAAGAAGCCTAACAGTACTAGGTGCGATTGGTTCCTGTTGAAGCAATTTACTAAACTGTAGTTTTAGTAGTTCCAGATGGTGATAAACTTCCATCTTCACAAGACATTCAAAATGATCTCCATCCATTTCATAACCATCAAGCAGCACCTTGAAGGCATTTCGATCAAATGTATTAATAGGTACCTCTGCTATATATCCCAAGTTAATACATGACAGAGACTGAATATTTGGATATATACCAGAAAATAAAAGTAAAACCCAGACGAATATCATATCTGAAAAACAAAGACAAATACTTTCCTGAAAAGCAAGTAGTACACGTTTATTTTTCGAAAAGAATTATTCTTTTAACCCTTTACGGCCGACTACCAGAAGACAACAAGCAAAAAGTTATGTTTCTATATATTCTTTTTTATTTAGTTATAGAGATCAATTTTTCACGGCGAAATTTTTAGAAAATGCTGTACCCCTACGGCAAACCATTACATTTTGGCAACGCCCGGTCGTAAAGGGTTAAGTTTGCTTTACTAAAGTCTATTTTAAACGTCGTTTTATAGCATCACGATATGTCTTAATAGTCGTGCGAAACTGTTTTACATATACTTCTGATGGTATAACAAATATAACAAAATTAAGCATTGGCGGGAAAAAGGAAATAAAATATCCCATCAGAAACCACCAAGCATCAGCATTTGTCTTCATACAACCTCCAGAAAATACAATAACTAAACGTGGAACTCCTAAAATAAATAGTAAAAGTGATGAAACCAGAAGATGACGATGTTGCTTAAATTGCTCAATGAAATGTTCTTTATATGAACTGGTGGATTGTACAACGGATTTTAAACGAGCACTACTGATAATAATAATTGATGCCGACATAAAATTAATGATAAAAGGTAAACAAAAGTGAAAAATATTCACTGTTATATTGAATTTTTGAACAGTTGATGGATAATGAAGAACGCACCAAATTCGTTTTTCATCATTATTATCAATATAAACAAGACGTCGATGAATTGGATCAACAACATTTGAACTGATAATTACAATAATAAGAACAATTATAACATATTTAGAAATTTTTACACTTTTCTTTTTATTGAAATGAATTCCTTTTAGAACTGTAATAGCACGTTCAACAGCTATACATGCATTTAACCATTGGTCTAAATTAAGACCAACACGTATTAAATAATCAATACTTCGACATTGAATTTGTAAAAATAAAATATTTGTTATATATGTCGTTTGTGCTACGACAAGTATAACAAATTTATTTAAAAATGTAGTTGTGTTAAATAATGTTGTTATTGATGCAGCAAGAAGATAAATTCCACAACCAGTTTGTTTCAAATCTTTTTGTATAAATGTTATAAGAGAAAATATACCATTCAAAGCTCCTATTATAGTAATAATCATAACTAAAGTAACACTTATTTTGATAATCATTGGTTGTTGTGTTATAGAAACAAATGGTTGAATATGATAGCCAAGAATAGCATCAAGTGAAAGACTATGTCCGTTTGAAGTAAATTCACACTGTAATCCATAAAAACATGATGGACAAATACACATTGATGTTTGTGGACAAGCTGTACTGTCTTGTAAACATTGGCCGCCATTTTCACATCTACTTCGACCAGAACAATCGCGTTTTAATGTATGATTAAATTCTAGACAGTTTGCCTGTCGCTGATTATTAAATTGAACACAAAAACAAACATAAATATCATCATAGAAACATGAAAGTTCCCGTGAATAGTTTCGACAAATGAAATGATAAAATTTAATACGACGAATAAGATGAAGTTTAGCAAGTGTCTCATTAAATACTTGACGAATATGTGGACAATAATCAGATAATTTGAGTTGTTTTTCAATAACATTGGATTGATTATATTTCTCTTCAAGAAAAATCAAATAATACTGATTAATAAATAATTCAACAAAAGTTATATGAACAGTTCCAGCCCAATAGATGGCCACAGGATTTCGAGTGATTGGAATTTTTTTAAAAGTAATACCCTTTTCTGGTTCTTGTCTATGTTTTACCTCAACAAAATGAATCAACATTGCTTCAGGTATATCAATATCATTCGAAAATGTTAAAATCAATTTGAAAGATGAATATTCGCATCGTTTTCCATAAAAATCTTTTGAACAGATACATTCAAATGTATTTCCAGGTGAAATATGTTGATCATAAGGTATACAAGTACCATTATTTTGACATGGATTATTTAAATGACATGTTGTATCAGATATTAAACATCGAGGACCCCATTTATCTATTGGACAAATACAAATTGAACGTTGATGTGCTGATATACCATGACATAAAGAATCCAATGAACAATGACATTGATATTCAATTGTACAAAGCCGACCAGTCCATCCTTTAAAACACTTGCAAAAAGTTCTGGCATTTGTGTCTTCAAAATAGCGAATACATTCACCATGTAAACATCCGTCTATAAAACAGTTTTTCATACCATAATCTTTATACGGAATATTCAATAGACTGGCAATACGTTGTACAGGTAAAAATAGAAATGGAATATGAATAAAGAAACCTCCTCGATAACTTAATGATAATTTTTCATAAATATCAATATGTATTGCATATTGATTGGATTCATTTTTTGGTCGATTTGAATAAAGTAAATAGATATCAAATGTTGTTTGACAATTTTGCATTGGAAAATAAGTTATTTGTTCATATGAATGAATAGTTCGTTGATCTGTATCATCTATAAGTGAAACAATAAGAATAAATTGTGTGTGCCACGAATCAGAAAATGTTTGAAGTTTCATCGTAAAGCTAACTCTTTGATTTTGATATTGGCAATGTGGTCCATAGTAATTTGGAAGGCACAAACATGTTGTTTTAAGCAAAAGTTTGTTAATATCAAATACAACTCTCAAAGGTACACCATGAATACAAACGCTGCGGGATATATCAGAATCCATCTCATTAATGAGAATCCCGTTGAGTGGGAGGTTTTTGTCTTCATCCATAAATATTGATTTTACTTGAGCAAGAGAAAAATGCACAATATCAGGCCTTGGTGTAAATCTGAAAAGATAACACAATTTCATATTAGCATCTCCAGCATATGAAAAATCGCCTGTATCACAAACACCATCTCGGAAAAAAGGAAAAGAAGACATTTCACAAAGGTAAAACATTTCCTTATTTGCACACGGTTGATCGGTAGCACACATTTTCTGGCGTTGAATACAAATGGGTGAAAGAGTCGTTTGATCTTTACAGTAGAATCCATTGCCATAGGTTTGAGTATTATATCGACACATATGTGGTTCATCAGTACCACCGAGACAATCGATATTGCCATCATTACTTTTGTCTATCGAAAGACACACAAATTTATGCGTAATAGATGACAGACATAAAAAGCTATGAGCTGTACAATTCAAACCCGATAAGAATTCATGACAATCAACTTCATCAGCTCCATCATAACAATCCCAATAGCCGTTACAACGAGTATATGCATTATTACACATCCATTGATTACATTCAGTTTCATCTGTATAATTCTGTCCATCAATAAGTATAGGATTTAAATCGTTAAAACCATTACAGATCGTTGGAAATGATATGATTTCTCGAATAGATTTCATTATTATATCTTCATCAGGACATATAAATTGTTCAGCATCTAAATATCCGCAATCACATTTTGAATCTCTTAGTAACTTTCGAGAAATACATTTATTTGTATTGGGACATATAAAATGTGTTAAAGATCGTTCCGTCAGACAAATTTCATGAATTAAAATGTTTTTTTGCATGTTTTCATCATCTCCATAATCACAGTCTTCAAATTGATCGAAGATACGAATTTTTGCTATACATTTCGAAGAATTCAAACACCGGTACATCGTTCGATTATCACAGAATGTAGCATCATTTTGTGGCATTGTATTGCATTTCGAAAGATAAAATGATAGTTGATAAATATATTGCCGAATCATTTCAATTCCATCCGGATGTGAAATAACACGAGGAAGGACATCCTGAACACGACGACATAGACTGTTGTTGAAATAAATTGTTTCTTGATTGGGATTAAAGCCACCACACAATTGTTCATTGTAACATATATATTCAGGTGCATTTAGCCATGTTTTCTGTTGAACAATGTACTGTTTTGTATATGCTAGATAGACATGACCAAAGACAATTGCTGCGGATGGTGCATGAAACATATACGGACAACTTTCATTAATTGTCTTCTGGCAGTGTTCTTCTGAACACATATGTCTACAACTATATTCCGAAGGGTTAAAAAATCCAAGATAACAGTAAAGTGGAAACCAGCACGTACGTAACATTGATTTATCGGGTTGTGATATCATATGATTAATAAAAAGATACCTGCGGTTGCGTTGTCTAAAAAATGGACCAAAATGACCAGTGCCATTGTAAGTAAGCACTTCTTCATTGATGAATAGTGGTCGCTGAGGGTCATACAATTGTCGTAGAACTGTATCCCAATATAACTTCTCTTTGGTATCTGAATGATCAAGACATTCGATAGCAAAAGTATTGTCATCAAGAAACACTGAGGATATACACTGACCATTTCGACATCGATATTCGTTTTCTTTACATTGATTCATTTCCATTTGCCAGCAGTCTTGCTCATCAACTCCGTCGGTACACTGAATGAAACCATCACAAATTTGATTCCAATCAAGGCATAGCAATACTGAACCAAAACTACAATTTAAATGACTATAACATGATAGTGCGTCTCTTTGATCAGTTCGTTCTAAATAGAAACCCTGAATTAATTCGTATACTGATGTCAGTTTTTGCGTTGTTCGAAAAGGAAATAAATATTGGCACCGTGGACCAAACCTTGATGATGTACAATTATAAAAAACTTTCGTTGATAAAGAAATATTGTTTGAAGTTGATAGTTGATTCAAATAGGATTGATAAGACTCAATAATATCTATTGGTGCTGACCAATGATATAATTGCTGACTGGTTATATTTAATTCAGCCAGTTGAGAAAAATTAAATTTTTGATCTCGTGTATTTTCCTGAATCTTCCATGTGGATGGCCATTCACTTAAACATAATGATGTCATCTGACGGAAATTTCGAAGATTAGGCAAGTATCCGAGGTACCAAAGCTTTATTTGAGGCTGAATCGACATTGAAACATAAAGACAGTCATGTTGTAAGTCTGTATTAGTTTTATCAATGTCTGTCCATTCAGTCAGTTCAAAATTGATTGGGTATGAATTCACATAAAAACTTATAATCATAGAGCAGAACAAAATTTTCGGTAAAAACGTCATTGTCAATTGATTATAAAAGTTTTAAACAAGTACAAAAATGTCAAATATTCAACTGAGATCAATTAAATTCAGTTATCGAAGAATCTAATATATTTCATCGGAAAGATTCACAATTCGCTTGGAAATATTATCTAAGATCAAAAGTTTACAATTACATACATATATAGGCAACACTCGTCGAGGGACTTGGTTCTTTCCCGTAGAAATCGCTCTTTACATGCTAAAAACGAAATTTCGCTAAGTGTATTTAGAAACTCATTCGAACTGAAATACACGCACACGTTCATTCGTTCAACAACATCTTTGGACAGGAGACATCTAACAGGAACTTTTCGCCGCCAGAAGAAAGTGAGAACTAGGTCGAAAATACTTCAAAACCAACCTCAAGTTTGCTCCCTCGAAAAACCTCAGGATATGCACTTTTCTTAATACTCGATCCTGAATCGATGTTACGGTTTCGCCCTAACAACACCAGCACCCATCGGTCATGTGATCAGTCGAGTGTCAGATTTAAGTTCTTCACATCGAGAAACCTCTAGCTCTGTCTTTTCTTGAAAAAGATCAGACTTCGATGTTTTTTTACCCTGATGAGTCCTCACTATCCTTATACACTCCCAGCCCTCCTCCATCGGTTTACAACCCGATCCACCATCGATCCATCTTCCTCGCATCGGAGAACCTCGAGAAATGCATTTTGGCGAAAGTGAGTTTTCGATGTTTTTTGACTGTGCGAACACACAAACAAGTCAACAATTTATGGCTACTAGACTCTTCTCTACGAGAAAGAGAAGTGTTACTAGTAAATATACCCGCTGGAAAGAGATTCCAGTGTATGCTTTCATTTTCAACACTGTTCTGTCTGTCACATAGAGATCTGTCCTACTATACCTAAGCACGACACATCAAGCAGCTCTCATACCCTCTTTCCCGTCCTGTTCTGTTTAGACCTCTCTCTGGGACTTTCAAAAAGCGTGTAGGAAGTTGCGTAACAATGACCATCACGATTGATGTGAACTGCAGTGTATGGTGACCTGAGTCAAATTTCCATCTAGTCGCATCCTACCCCACCCCGGATGGAGCTTTCGACTTCCGTCGACCTTCTTCTGGGCCTAGGAAAGTCGTGCGGAAAGTTTGGTGACCATAGCTATCACAGGGACTGAATGTATAGCGAACAGACAAACAAACATTACAAAATATAGGTATAGATTAATAAAATCTAGCATTCCACATTCAAAAGTATCTTAATCAAAAATTGTTTCCTTAACTATAGACATCCTCCGATCTTCACTCTCTATACCAAGCGATACCATTGGGTTATCAAGCTATATTATTCGAGAATACCATTCATTCCTCATATATATTTCTATGTTTTGGAATGTTTGTCTGTTCGCTATGCATTCAGTCCCTATTATAGCTGGGGTCATCAAAATTTCCACGATGCTTGCCTAATTCCAAAGCAAAGTTGACAGAGGGTAAGAATTGCCAATCGGAGATGATGGAGGAGTAGCTGGGTGAAATTCACCCAGACTATGAAACACGTCAGTTTCCAGCATTCTTTGCAGATAGCGGGTAGCGAAGGTGGCCGAAGGCCGTGTGAACGCTCACCCTCTTCCAAGTCTGAGGGAAGGGGACGCAAAGTTTAGACCTTCATTCAGGGTGAGGTTTAGGTCTGGGTGTACATTTCACCCAGACTATACAACACATCAGTTCTCAGTCAAACTTGCAGATAAACGATAGCAAAAGCAGCCCAAGGCTGTCTGAGCGCTCATGAACGTTAGTTCACATATCCCAAACTCTCCTCACGGCTTTCCTAGATCTTAAGCGGGATAGATGGAGTGTTGGTATACTTACTCGAAGTGGGGTTGGATGCGACTAGATGGAAATTTGACTCAGGTCACCATACACTGCAGTTCACATCAATCGTGATGGTCATTGTTACGCAACTTCCTACACGCTTTTTGAAAGTCCCAGAGAGAGGTCTAAACAGAACAGGACGGGAAAGAGGGTATGAGAGCTGCTTGATGTGTCGTG